CCGCTCGCCCTGCGGGGGCAGAAGGATGTTATCCTCGCTGTCTGCTTCCACCTGCTCCTCCCTCAATCTCCCTACCGGGCAGCCCATCGTTATTCCTGATAATGTCCGCCACATTCACGCATATTCTTTTGAATTTCGCTCTAAGCGCTGCCGCAACCGTCGCCCTCCCTCCGCCCCGCGCTACTCGGCGAGGGCGCAACCGAGGGGCACCAATCAGAGGAAGGACGGATTAACTCGTGAACTTTTTTATACGCAAGCGGTTTTCGATCGACGGCTTTCGATCGCGGTTTACGGCGAATGAAATGGAAGCCGAGACATGCGGAAGGAAGCAATTCACACGCGCGATACGCGCCATTGCCATTCAAACTCGTGCCGTAACCTTCCATCGTTCCAGGTTCCCCGCTTCAGTTGAATTCGTAAAAGTCCAATCTCAAAACTTATAACCTCAAAAAAATATACTGATAAATAACTGAGAATCTTGTGCCTCAAAGTATTTGTCTTGGAGTTGTAAAGTAATGATTAAATGAAGGCTTCCTATAAGCTTTATGGCTTTTGAATGTCGTTCTTTAGAACCCAGTTCAAGTTTTTTGGAGGCGATAACAAAAGCTATTTGGAATGGTTTTCTTATTTTGTCCATTTCGTCGCATTTCGATCAGTAGAGAAATATTTAATTATATACCATCTCCCACAATGGTTTAATTTATTCTTTCTCATTCGCTCTTTCTCTCTGTGAATGCAGGGAAAGGTAATGGGTAGTTTTGTGAACCATTAACCATTCAGATCTAAATTGATGTATTCCTACCCAGGCTTGATCTGAAAGATCTCAGAAAATATCAGTGAAAAAGACAAATACATCAGCGGCTTTTGACCATCATTCCTTGTACGTAGAGATATTTCTGAAACACACTTATCGTATTCAATGCAGAAAAACAGAAGGTACTCTTTTAACAAAATTTAAGACTAAAATAGAAACAATTCGCAGTGATCTAAGGGATAATGCCTGGGTGATTAAAAGTAATTCACATTTACCTTACTATATTTACAATTTATTTTGATCTTGCTATGGGCAGAACTTGCACTACATCATTCTATGACACTGTCTCCTATCTCCAGCAAATTCAATAATTAATATCAAATGTATTTGTCGTGCAGCCCCAAGGTGTATCTTCTTCCATTCTTTCTGTTGTAAGCTTCTGAAAAAGTATTAAAAGACCAATACTACTTCGTCCATTTTGGAGATGGATAGCGTATAACGTATTGTATTTTTACCACATATTTTAATTGAAGTTATTCTGCACGCTTCGATACCAAACCATTCTTATTGTAAATTCATATGTGATTTTGTAGACCATTTATAGTCCACTTTTCCAGCTCTAGACGATTAAGAAACTTACCGGCGTAAATAAGTACTAGATTTAACAAAATAAATGCTTTATTAGAGAAAAAAGCTTAAATGCTTTATTTAAAAAAAAACAACTTTTTTTCAATTTCACCAAGATGAGAAGTATTTCAATGAAGTTGACTTTATAAAAATAAGAATTATGTGTTACGAACTTCTGTTATCAATCAATGTTAAGAAAGCAATAAATAAGTGAAGTAATTATTTTGAAAAGTTTGAAAAGCAATTATTTCAAAATAAAGATTAAAAATGCAAAATAAACTCTCGATAAATTTAAACATGATTCTTCTTGTGCACGGGTTCCACCACCAACAATGTAAAAGAAGAAAATATTCTGATAGTAACGCTAAAACATGCGCCTAAGCGATACATATAGCGTCGGCCAATCTTCAATAAGAATCTGTGGTTAATATTGAAATAGTGTAGGTATAACCCTCAAAATTCATCGACTAAGGGGGGCAAGCAAAATAATATTTTGAACGGTTATGTAACAAGAATATAACTTACTTTTTCGTAAATTAGGAAAAGAGCGCTCGAATATACAGTTCTTGCTAAGTACATATAAGTAATCTGCTCAAAAAGGAAATTGCACGGCCAAAGCGTAAGGTCACTAAGCACCCAGTGGTGACGATCAGTCGTAAAAAGAAATTACCTCCACATTTGGAGTAAATTACTTCCCATCCCGAGCACCACAACAGCTGGAGAAGATTTGTGGTCGACATGTGTTCCTAATGGAGCAATATACTTTATAATTGCTTCTGCCTTCTTACTTCCGACACCACATTGTCGTCTTCATTTCGTACAGATGCTACTTTCCGACTCCTTCACAGCTTTTATTTCAAACAGCTTCTATGAATTTTGTGTAGTTTGATAGTAGTTACTGAGGACACTCGAGTTCTCACTAACTACTAATATTAGAAGTCAACGCTCGAGGCGTAATGGCTGGGGCATATTCCTTGCACCTCGGTGGCCAGGGCTCGGTCCTCGGACATTCCGTACGGAATTTACGATGGAGAAAACGAGCGCTGGGCAGATTATTTCTAGATATCCCGTTTACCTTGCTCCCCACTTCCCCACCACTCCATCATCATCATCATCATCATCATCCCCATCATCTACTTCTTAGCTCCTCGCTCATGATCTTCAATGACCTCAGCAGTGGGAGAACACCTACATTAATAAGAAACATGAAGATAATTCTATAGCTTTTGTTTCCCCATTTCTTTATTTTATTTGAAGTTATTATTGATTCATTATAAACTGTTCGTTCCCCACTGGGTTTAACGCATGATGAACTGATAATACATATTATTTTGTGCCCTTTTGTGTCATTTGTGTCATTGTTGGTATTAGTTATGGAAAACTTATGACAATTATCCTCATATTTCTCATATATTCTGCAACACTTCTGAGAATTATACGAAATACGTATTCTTACAGTCTACTATCTCTACTGAAATATCACAAATATTGAAGGAAAACATAATTTCAAGGAAAGATCTAAGTGTATAGTGAAGTGTTTTTTCACTCACGTCGAACATTTTAAACTAAATATGTAGATATTGCATAATCTTATTCTACTTCTATTTGTACATATTGTAATTATTACACTTGTCCCAGATGGAACTTCTCCCACATTTCATAGTGGTCTTAACTGTTTTTGTTGTTAAATAAATAAAGAAATTTCAATTCATTTCCTGTATGGAATAGTTTAACACCAAAAACCAATTAAAGGGCGATTTGAATACAGTAAACCTTAGTTAACGACTTTCAAGAGACCGAAAGAATTGTTGTTTGTGTTATTCAAATTCGTGTTACCTGATTATTATATAATCGTGTTACTAACTGCAATTCGCAGCTTTTGGCTGGTTGATGTCCCAGGATTCGGGCGTCTAGTGACACTATCTATTCAGTTGGTTTGCTAGACCCCCACCTGATTATCCTAGTAAAGCCTAGGATGCTCAGGTGTTTTTGTCAGATCTCTGAGTATGACTAGAACCTTAGTACTGGAACAGCTGTGGCTTTCAGTTATCAGATTCATATATATATATATATATATATATATATATATATATATATATATATTCATTCACTCGCACATTCACACAAGGTTCTATTTACACTTGACACACGAACTTTCACACGACACTGTATACATCCTGAAAACACTATTTACACTACCAAGCCCGCCAACAATCAAACCCTGGTTATATTTATGTAGACTATTTTTATGTGATGTGAAACATTAAGCTATCGTCATGCACTGAAAATTACTGAAAAGTACGAAAGTTGAAAGCCAACTTGGAAATCAATGATAGGTTGATTTAAATGGTTATAATCATTGAATTAATTATCGCCATAGGAACTGCTCAATATCGCCTTGCCGAATATTATATGACTATGGGTGCTTCTGATTAGGCTCGATTTTGGTGGAAATAGCGGTAGTTTTTAAATGAAATTTAAATATAACATTAGAAATTTTGAAGAATAAAATTTAATTGAAATAATCGAATTATAATCGTACGTTTTAATTTATGCATAGATTAAACGTATTAAATATAATTACATTAATTGTTTTTATTGATCGTATAAAATAATTGATTATTGTTCTAATAGAGATTAATTCTGTAGAAGTTTGCTTTGGTGATCAGGATATTAATATGTGGTATATTGTTGCATTACAGGTTTACATTTACTATTATGCATACTATTATGCTGTACATTTGCATGATTTGATACATGCTTCATATCCGTAGATATGTAGAGTGGCGAAAAGAATCTGCAAAAATCGAACAGACAATTTTTTTTATGACCGTGGTCAATTTTTCAAGATTAGAGCGAAAACGTATTTTGTAGAATCATCGCAATGTGTATGCGGCCATCACAGAATGTGTGTGACCTACGAGCCATATTTTTTGATAACCAGTTTAATTTTGATATGTCATGAGCACCTTCTTTCAATTGCAAGAACTGCAAACGAACTCTAGAAAGTAAGCTAAAATTAAGATAGTTGTTGTTCGCTAGATGTGTGACGTTATTTCATTTTGTTCTTCCGCAGGTTGATAAAGAGAAGAAGAAATGCCCATGGGGGTTGCAATTCAACGATTTCAGAGGGAACGCACTGACGACAAAGTGATAAAATAAAAATTAATAAATATTAATAATAAGTAAGACCGATAAATTGGCCGTGATCACTGAGGCAGTAGTGCCGTGGCGGTCTCGGACCAGAAGATCGCGGGTTCGAGTACCGCCTCTGGCATGGTTGTGTTGTATCTGTACCTGAATATTTGTGCGTGTCTATTTCATCATTATCATCACAATTGTATCCCATCCCCAAGCGCTAACAATCCTGGGGTGTAAAAATGGAATCAGCATTGAAATGCTTATTCTGCCCTTTAGAGAAAGTAATACGCACCTACCCCGATAATCAAGTATGAGTCTCGGTGGGATGCACGTATCGCGTGGCCCCATGATGGCCGATTCGCAAATCAAACAAAAAATAATAAGTTAGAATTAAAGGAATAAAAAGAATCTATTAAGGTGTACATTGCGCTAAGTTTCTAATTATAAGACAGAAAACAAACAACAGTATTGGCTTGTCAAAACCTATCTGCGTAGATTTTTGGAAACAGAAAAACGAATCTTCAGTAACAGGCGGGATGCACATGGCAAGCGGTTGACTGCAGAGCATCATACGAACATTCTAAAATAGTTGAGCACGATTCCACTTGGCTGTAGCTCTTTGCAGAGGATTGAGCTCGCTATTCCATATTACTCGACTATTCCATAATACCTGAACTTACTCTACTTTTCTGGTATATAAATATTGCATTAATAGACTTTATAAAATGCATAACGATTTATTAGAATATCTGAACCAGATTGTTGCTTAAATGTAAGTAATTTACATTCAGTAAAAATACACTTCATCAAATCTTCAAAATATACCACAAATCACAATAAAGAAAATTATTTTGAAACTGTTTGGGGGATACTGTGAACCCATTCTGATGTAATATTGAGCATTGTATATAAATCGACATGTTCAAATTAATGTTTAATATTTTTTGACCATCATTGGCGAATTAAAACAAACAGCGGTCATGAAATTAATCTAATATTAGAAGAGGCGAGTATGTCTTTTGACATTTCAGTGTATAATCAGTTTAGGAAACTGAAACGCAATGGGGGATTTATTAATTTTTCTTCCTCTTGTTTTATTACAGACTGGATTACCTCACGATGGTTAACTAACTTAAAGGTAATTTTAAAAACGTTTTTTAAAACCTTTACATGCTTCACTAGGTTGAAATCCGTCCACTCGATTTCCTCGATTGTCCGTTGGACCGTATAATGGGAATTCGATATTAAAGACTATTTTGCATGTATGCGGTTTAGAAAATCAGGAGCAGGCGGCGCGTGGGATTTCCAGCGTGGAAGACGAACAGAGAAGTGCTGGGCCAGGTCGATCCATCCCTGCTTTCCACTGTCACACTTCGTTCAATGTGATCAAAGGGCGAAAGCAATAATTAACTCCTTTTATATGAGAAGTCAATTAACTTTTCCCGTTCGCGACAGCAGCGGAAAAAGAGGTCACATTAAATTATTGCCTACGAAACCGCTGGAAGACTTATGGTGGGTAAACACAGCCCATTAATCATCATTTGAATTTTGTGTATACAACTTACGAGCTCAGACGGTTTAAAAGCAATTAATATTGATGAAAATTAGGATATTGAACGTTCTCTGTCGCCTACGATTTTGTTGATATTTTCATCGAGAAGAAGAAAGATTTACTCTTTCTGTGTACATCACCTGGGATTTATCCACTCCACTCCACTCCACGCCACGCGATTTACATCTCCCTCTAAAGGACGGATATCACACTAAACGTACGTATACGTTTTACGAAAATAATGATAATAATAACTGTTAATGACAATCAGTCCAATACTATTTTCTTTGACGTATTTATCACATGAAAGGTAAAACGTAGCCAATAATTGAGAATTTAGAATATAAGATATTTAGTTACGCTATTTTCAATATGTTGATCATGACCTGACTTTAGATTTAGATTTATTTAGTAAAAAACACGGTAAACACTGTATGTGACGTATAGGGGAGAAAATCATCGCGCACTTTTTTTGAGTTCCCAGAATCCCTTCCATCATTTTAACTTTAAATAGTTGAGGGATTAGTAAAAGTTAAAGATAAATAAAAATATAAAAATAAAAAAGCGCCAAATTAGCAACATTTGAAAAATTAGACATTTTTGTTCCCGAGTTATAGAAAACATCTTTGCAACGGTAAACGAACTGCAGGTTTGATTTCTTTGTATTGCTAACTAAATAGTAACTCACCCTTACCTCAACTCCTACCACTTCTAGCAAAAGGAGAGTTCAACTAAACGCGCACATAGTGAAGCTACATTTACGTTCAGAAGCAAAACAAGGAGCCATCTCACCATTTTCCCAATGTATCAGGAAGACTGGACAAAAACCTAATCAAGATGGGGGTCATTGACCCGGAAGCTGAAGTACATTATTTGTTACATACATTACAGCATACTACGTTTTAAAAAATACAATACAAATGTAAACTAATTAATTATATATCAGTTTTGTTAAAATAAACATAATTTTTTCTTTTTGATGATCAATATAGTCTGTAATTACATTCAAATTGTTATGCAGCAGAAAAGTTTTACTTTTAACTTAAATTTGTGAACCGACTTCAGTTGTTTATTGTCATCTGGCAATGCGTTGTAAAGTAACGTACATGTATTTTATGTGGATTTTTGATAGTGAACTTTTATGAAATTATACGCAAATCACCTTTTTCAAAGTGTAATTATTTTTGATTGAATAATGGCTCTGTATTTCCAACGATTTGAAATGGTCCACAAACTTCGAATTTTCGTAATATATAGTTATATCTACACTGACACATCTGGAAAATGAATTAGATAAAATGCTGTAGGCCTATAAAATAATTTAAAAGTGATAGTATTCAACATTTAATTTGAAAATGAATTTCATACCATCCAAATCTTAAAATAGAAGTTCACTTTTTATTGCAATCAAAATGGGAAAACATCTAAATTAAATTCAGCAGAAATTCAAGTGTATAATTCTACTATTAGAGACTGGAACGGTTTGCCTGTGACAATCATCGATCCCTTTCCTCAAAGCCTGAGCAAATTTAAAAATAAATTAGTTTCCTGAATGTTGATATGTGTGTTATAAATATATTTAATATTATTCAGTGTAAGTAACTATGTCGTCTATGTACTTAAGTATTATTATTATTATTATTATTATTATTATTATTATTATTATTATTATTATTATCATTATTATTATGTGAAGTGCAGTGGGGTAGTGAAACTGAGCGAAACGAGTGTGTAAGAAAGACATTACAGCTTAGTGTTTGTCGTGTGCGGTGAATTGAAGTGTGAAGTGGATTGCTAAGAAATATTGCACGGTGAAATGTTCACGTTAATTTGTAAAGTTTTTATATTTTGTAAAGTTGCTAAGGTCTGTAATGTTATGTTAGTGTATTCTGCCACCAAGTTTTCAAACTTAATTGCAGAATTATTAATAAATTTAATCTAAAAGTATAAGCATATAGCATATACACGAATATATGCTTACTCTCAATAAGAATATTACTTTACTCTCTGCTTCTTTATAAAATATTAGGCGGGAATTATAATACAGGGAACACGCTTTGTCACGTCAGTTAAATTCGACTCACCTCAAATCGAGATTGACCAAAACAGGCACTCTATGTAAATTCAAATATTAATTAATGACTTGGTTAACGAAAAAAGATAAATAGGATGACGTTGACGCCTTCTATAATCTCCAGACGTGTCCACTTTCCAAGTACGATCGCACTCACCTAAACGATATATTTCTCCATCCGATATTCATTGCTTCAAAATTTCATTCCATACCACTTTACTAGCCTCATTAACCCTCTTCCATATTAGAATTATTAACAATATTTTTTGTGCATTAACTACGGTATTGTTTCTAATAAAAATGCAAAAATGTTTTGGTCATACTCGAGATAAAAGCGATATACTTGTAGCCACCTGATCTGATGAGTAATATGATATTACTAATATCATTATTATACTTGTAGTATGCGACCACGGGTTCGATTCCCGGTCGAGCCAAGACTATTGCGTGCATTTCCCTTGCAATGTCCCAGTGTATGTTGCTGTGTGTGACGGTGAGAAAATTCACTTCTGGGGTTGAGAAGACCGGAATACTGCGTGGGGATGCCTACGTGCTAACCACACGAACCCCCTTAAACCATTGACGCAAGGCAGGGTCGTCGCCGGTAGGCATGAGCCCATTCACGCCAAGTACATTCTTGCAAGCGTACATTATTACAGTTGAAGCTATCTTTTATTATCTGGTATTATACAGTACATTTTTAAATTATTATTGTAATTTTATTTTTGGTAGACATTAGATTGCTTAGTTTACATATTAATTGCAAATGTTTGATGGTCTTAATCTATCTTATACTAACTTACACTAACTTAAAATTATACATTACAATTATATAAAAAAATATACTGGGAGGGGAAGTAGGAAGCACCTCAGATTAGTATTATTCCAAGTTTGCGTACATTTTATAAAATGAATGGAGGGGGATAACTGTTGTAAATTCTCGTTTGATAATTGGGGTTTTAGCCTATAGGCTAGCCTTTAGCCTTCTATATTTTTATAGAAGGATGATGCTTGAATTAGGGAAAGGTTAGTGTAAAAATTGTGTGCGAGGTAGACTATTTGATTTTTTATTGTGTTTATATTTAAATCATTGTGTAATTGATTGTTACTGATGAACCATGGTACTTCAGTAATTAATCTTAAACATTTATTTTGGATAACTTGTATTTTGTTTAGATTGGTATTGGCAGCATTGGTCCACATGGGACAAGCATAGAGTAATGTCGGCCGGATTATTGTTTTGTAGAATAATAGAGCATTGGATTTGGACAGTTGACTGTTGATTCAGTAAGGGTCGTAGTTAAATTAGATTAGTTTTGGTTTACTTAGTTTTTACCTCTAAATGTTGCTGCCAGTTGAGTGGGGTATCGGAGTTTAAGCCCAAGTATTTTATTGTTTTATTAGTTAGTGTCCAATGAATGGTTTTGAATGGTTTTAATGTGAATATTTTTGCTACAGATTTTGTTGGGTTCAACATTATTTTCAAGACATTATCCCAATTTACTGGTAAATTTAGGTGGTTCTAAAGCTGTGTTTGAAGAGTTGTTAAAGAGTTCCCTGAGATATACAGTGTAGTGTCATCGGCAGTTACTATTATTATTTTCCTGTTATTATTATACTTTACATTTATTGCTACTTACTGTTACTTACTGTTTCGAGTCCGGGCGTGTGTGGTAGAGTAATCTGGTGATGTGCTATACTGCATTTTATTAGTATTAATACTCCTTCACCTTTCGAGTTTTGTGTCTGCTTTGATTGTTGTGTATCCCTGAATAAAAAATCAAGATTCTTGGTTGAAATGTGTTTCTATGATGCATGCTATATGAATTCTGTTAGCACGTAGGAAGTGTTGTAATTCGGCTTTTTTGTTGATAATGCCATTGACATTCCAATTTAATATAATTATATCATTATACTATCCATAATTGTTGCTAAATGACAATTGATTGTTGGATATTCTGTATAATTGTTCTTATTAATGCATTTATAAAATTAATGATGTGATTGGTGTTGACTGAGTGTTGATAATCGGCCAATGTAGTGCTGTAAACATCGCTACAATATATATATATATATATATATATATATATATATATACATATATATATATATATATATATACATATATATATATATATATATATATATACATACATATATATATATATACATATATATATACATACATATATATATATATATATATATATATATACATACATATATATATACATATATACATACATATATATTAAGATTTAGTATGTACTACAGTACGAAATTTTATTTACTATGGGGCAATATATTAGGAAAATTATATAATTTCAGGAAAAGAAGGTAGAATATGCTTCAAATACGTATTATTAATTTATTTATCTCTAATATATCGACATTATAAATATATGTAATTATTTATAATTGATGGTCCACAATTAAATAACTTATACACTTTTTTCTACAGAAGATATGAATTACTTTCAACATTAATTTGTAAAATACTGTATAACATATTCATTTAATGTACAATTCTATCATGCACATTTCACTAATATTTCCATTAAGTCTACATATTTATGAATAAGATTGCCTTGTAGACTATCGTTGCTGATCTTTCACACGTAAGCAAATACCAACATTGGAGATGAAGATATCACAGAAGACTAATTTGTTATTGCCGAGGCTTGAGAAATGATAAAGTTCACAATTTAGTTAAATAGTTCATTATGTTTAAATAAATCAGATGAAATTGTAATAAATATTGAATGCATCACCTTTAGGTTTATTTTATTGCTACTAATATTGATTAAATTAATTATTTCTCATTGCAAATTTTTCAATAAAACATTTATTTTATTATTTAGAGAGTAATAAACACCACTGTCTACACTCCAAAAACCATTACTAATGATGTATCGTAACTGAATCCTTCTTCCATGTGATTCTGTTGTGATTTCGATTACAAGTGTTTTGCAGATGTTTTCTATTTGTCATGGGATTCTTCATACACTTCAAAGCATAGGTGTTTGAAAGGTCTTACTGCCCTCCATTTGTGTTGCAATCCATTACTCTTTACTAAAATCACACTAAAATATATTGTTGGATTTATATTAAGAGACCTTGACAAATAATAATTGTAAATTGAATAATTGTTAAATTGACAATTTGTCATTTTTGTATTGATAACGTCTGAATATACATAATCATTTATTTGTATCAACCGTAACAGAAATCATTTTGAAATTTAATCATGACACTCATTCGAACTTTATGCATTCAATCAGTCAATCTTTCTCCAATTATTTGCTTTTAACCCTTATTTTACCATAGTATGTTTTGAATATATAAGCATGCCGTAGACCTTAAATAGTAAAGGAGTGCAAATTAAAACAAAATGGAAGTATTTGGTTCAAGATAATGAGTGTTATTTACATCATTATGAAATTATTAATAAACATTCTCTCTGTATGAATGTTAAAATTAGAATTCGAAGACTAGAATAAGAATACAGTAGACCTTTTTAGTGAATGAAACACGGCATCGGCACTGCCAAATCACATTTTGAGCGATGGCGTTAATAAATGACAAAAGAATAATAAAAAGAGACATCGGGAATCCTCGCAATGAGAGGGGAAATATAACAACGGCATCACAACTGTCATTTAAAATATTTTTCTCTGGTTTTAAAATGATCGTTAATTAGAAAAAACGCAAGTCAATTTTTAGGTAGCAGATAATTTTTACACTTTGTTCATTGATCTCCCGGCTTTTCAGTGAGCTCCTCTTTCAAATTTTCAGGGAGTTGAGGACTATCAAGCCATATTAATACATAATTCCGACGTCCCGGAAGTGATATGTTGAACAATGGAACCATATGAAAACATGAACTATGGTTCCTCCATTGAAAATATTTTAAAAGAAAATATTAAAACTATCAAATGTATGGTGATCTTATCTGATATTTTTACTGAGGTTCTAATCCACCATTAGCGCGGGCGTGACATATGTTGTGTCCAAAAATTCTATCATGTAAATTGCAGATGAATTATTCAACCGGCTTCTTGTAGGATAATAGAAAACGACATAAATACGAAGAGGAAATTCGGGAGCAACATTCCGTATCAGAAGTTGCTCGTGATACAAGAATGTTTGTCGTATGAAATGCTGAATAAATCTGGAACACTACAGGTGACTGGAATGGCTGACTGGTTTCACTGGTGGCTGCTCCGCTCCTCTTGGTCACCACCTGTTGCTTCTTCCTACTACAGGGGCTCCCGAGGACTCAGTTTCACCCACACGCCGCCTTTGCTGCGCAGCGTGAGGCGGTACTTCAGATCCACCACGTCTTTTCCCGGCACAGGCTCCAGTTTGTACTTCCGAAGTAATACCGACAATACTGTTTTCATTTCCATCATGGAAAATTTATAACCTGCAAGAAAATTGTAAGCTATAGTATTTTTCAATTTTAAAATTATTTGTGTGAGAAGAAGTTACTAAAACAGTAAAAGAAAACATTTTTGAGGAAGAAAATGGCGAAAATATTTGATAAGTGATGAGCTATAAACGTAAGAAGCCAACGGGCGTATAAGGACGACAACCAGATGCCGGTAACTAAAGAATCTTTAATGCAAGATAAAAACGTGCCATTTTCCTTTCCAGCCGAGGAGTTCATGAGGCACAGCGGAGTCTGCACCGCGCCTAAAGGGAGCATTCATGCGCAGCTTACACATTGGTTTGGTAAGTGACCCCGGGCGCGTTAACAGCTGTGGTAATTAGTCCCGTAAGTCTAGTGTATGTTATATTACAGGAAGGGATGGTATTACTTCCCCGCTGAAACGAATGATCCGGTGCTGACCTGCACGTCGGCGTGCTGGGTTTCCTCCTCGAAGTATCTTCCGCCGAGAGGCGCCGCCCCATTCGGATCAACCTCTAAGCGCCTGACATGTATCTTAGTATAATGCATTTATATGTATGCGTGTGTAAATGGAGAGGAGGAGACAAAGATGAGAAAGGAAAGATCGCACGTGGTCCGTAGCCCGTTTGTCAGGGTACCGCTCCGGCATTCTTCTGGCATTAATCACAAAAGCACGGAAAATGTTTACCAGAGCAACTGGCCGCTAGATTATCTTCCATATGGGCTTAGTTCCACCCAGTTCTGTAGCTGGAGTAGAAAAATCAATCGGAACTCGAACCCAATACCTCCCGGTCAAAAAATATCTAAAACGTAAGAACAATGTTATATTATGGAAGATACTTACCAATGCAATTTCGAGGGCCTGCACTGAATGGTATGTAAGCATAAGGATTTCTTCCTTCCACATTTTCTTGACAGAAACGAGAAGGGTCAAACGTTTCTGGATTTGCATATATGTGCTTTAGGCGATGAACGGCGAATGGGCTAATGAGAATTTCCGCGCCCTTAGGAAGAGTATGCTTGCCTGTGAAACAAACAAATGTAGAACACATAATCGCAATTTACTTCTCATCATCGTATAGCATGTTGGGAGGGTCAACATTGAAGGAATATTCTTAATATTTTAAAGTGAGCATTAGTGCGAAATAAGGATACCTATTGTGACGTCGTGTCCCAACCGACGGGCCATTATCGGCACACTAGGGTAAAGCCGAAGTGTTTCCTTGAGGCACTGTTCCAAATAACGCATCGCGGCGAGGTCTTGACGAGTTGGAATACGATCGGAACCATTGAAGATGCTTTCCAGTTCTTCCACTACTCTCTCTTGTTCTTCCTGATGCTTGGCTAGCATTATGACAGCAAACGCCAGCGCTGCACCCACTGAATCCTGGCCCTGTGAATCAAATTATAAACGACCCTTTATATTATTATTATTATTATTATTGTCCTAGTAAATCATTTTTCCCTCAGACTTCCATCCAACCAACAGCCGGTTACCCATTTATGTCCCGATGGGACGCATATTGGACCATACACTAGACACCAACACACTTTGCGGGCTCTTCTGATGTGGTCAGCAGAACGCGAGGCCCTCCGCGACAACACATACATGAGAGACAAGAGACAAACAACCACGCCCAGGTGGGACTCGAACCCGCGACCCTTCGGCCCGAAGCCCTGAGTCGGCACACGCTCTTAGCCACCTCGGCCATCCAGGTCGGCTATATTACATCTCAAGTACCTAAATATCAAATAATATATGCCTCTCAATATATTTGTAATATCAACCAATTTAATAGAATCAATTTGCAGAATTTATTGAAAGAATTTGTTTGAACCTGTGCTTTCTATTTTCTCTGCATCTATTCATTCAAATTTGCATTTGGTAGAAAGATATTAAAAGTAGAACTGGAGGAAGTTGCCAGCGACTGCCATGGAACTCTTTCCCCTAGGTGTACAAAGATTTAAAAGTATATTAACTAAGAACATTTGTAAAATTTATTAATTAGTAAGTTAGCTCATAGTTATTATTTTATTATTAATGATATTGTAATTATTAGTAGTGTGATAATTACTATTAAATGCATTGCTTTATTAAATATATAATTATATTTAAAGTAGTAGATGAATTGGAGTGCAATAGAGACGTAGGAAGAGAAGTGTAGTGAAGTGAGGTGAAGTGGAATGCAGTGCATGGCAAAAGTATATTTATTAGTTAAAATATCTGTGCAGGACAGTCATAAAATCTAGAGTAAATGCTGTTATAGTTACTATTGTCTTTATTGTTATCATATTATTATTGTTACTATTAATGTCTTAAAATGATTTAAAATTACATTGTGTCAATATTACTAATTATAATATGTTAATTATAGTGTTCTGCCACCAGGTTGTATGAACCTGCCTGTAGAAATAGTATCTCTATCTATCTATCTATCTATCTATCTATCTATCTATCTATCTATCTATCTATCTATATGGCCATGACTTCTTTATTGCATGCATTCGACAAAGTCTATTTTGTCATAAACCTACGTCATATTATAGAATACTAAATTATTTTCTGACGAGAATAGCCTTTGGATTGAGCACTTTATTAATCAAATGAGCTTTATTTCAGATTGATTTCCAAATTGAATGTAAAATTTCTAGAGCTGTTTTATTATAACTGAAGTATAAATATCATAAAAATAGTTTAATTTGGAGGTACCAGAATTCTTGCTTGTTACATTTCATATTTAAAAAAAAAGTATTTTTGATGATCCATTTAACGTAACGTTTAAAATATTTTTTGTTCTAGAAATTAATGACCTTTGGTCAATGTCCTTTGGGTCAATTACCTTTAGGTCAATGTCCTTCGAGTCAATGTCCTTCGAGTCAATTTCCCTCGAGTCAATGTCCTACGAGTCAATGTCCTTTAGGTCAATGTATAAATGTTCTACAGTGAAACAAACCTGTATTGGCGTACACGGCAAACGGAATGGTTTTTCATTTCATTCAAAAGGTGCCTGAATATACGATGGCTCGTATTAGTTCTAGACTGTATGACTTTCCTGATGACTGAGAAAATTCAGAAATACAATTTGAGGGCCCTCTAATTCTCAGAAAAATAATTAAATTTGCGTGACACAAGAGCCTGAAAGATTCTTTGTATTACTTTTTAATATAATTGTAACAAAATTAGTAAAATACTAATAACCTTTAGCAGCACAACAAAACCACACAAAATCTTTTCCCAAAACGTAGCATGCACACTGCTCACCAACAACAATTAAAATATTATCGTATAACCTTGTAACAAATTAAGTATTTTAACAAAAATAGTCTTCATGAATACCGCAATAGTATTGTATTATAGTATATATATCAAGAATATCATAAGAAAATTTACATGCCAATACTATCAAAAAAATTGCCGATCTTTATCACAACAGTTAGGGAAAACGTGTGGCCAATTTCTTGGAACCTAGATATCACATGTCACTGTGTCGTGAGCAGTGACGTACTGAATATGAGAATGCACTCGGTACGCACAGTTTGAGAATAGGTGGAATAAGGCAATTACATTTTTTGGTCAAACTCAAAAGTCCTATGTTTTGAAGTTTTTCCAGAGTTCCTGAGTATCGAAAAAAACAAAAAAATCTCTTTCACGGCCGTTGGCTGCATAGTTTTCTCTCAATTTCTGCGTGCATTGAAAATTAGTAATTAAAATGTGCAACAACTAACGCATTGATTGCAATAGTTCACGTTTCGTACCACATAGTATTTGTTAAACGTAATCTTTATTGTTAAAATTATTAATTTAACACGGATTAGTTTTTAAAATCTATATTTTATTTCAAGAAAATTCATAATTTCATATAATATTGTATTCTACGTAGACTTTACTATTGCTCTATTTGTATATTTATCTAGTATGTTATTGTATATTTATAGCCCTGAAGTAGGCCAAATAAATGGCCGAAACGTTAGCACTGTAAAAATGACGTTATTGATCTACCCTCACGGTTTCTACATAATAGTTTACTTGTAGTAATTGGTGAGTTCGTGTGTCCGTTTAGAGCGCTTCCGGTCCACCATTCGGAGCAAGAGAGGTGTTATTCAACCCATCTCAGCAAGGCCGGTTTTCGAATTCAAAAATGAAGGCCCGTACATACATCCACTCACACATACATATGCTTTATAAAGTCATAAATAAGCATAAGTAATTTGTATCTGCATAACTACCAATAAATAAAGGACGTCACTGCCGAACGAAGAAAGGTAGACGTTGTATTTTAGTGTAATTTACTCATTGTGTATTAATAAATGAAAATCAATAAATTTCCATTGAATATAGCGAAGAAATTGTACAAAAACATCATTTTAATTGATTTGGAAATAACACAAAAGAAAAAAATATTGTTTCCCAACATTGCGAAAATAGAATTGTCGTACTGTACAAAGTCGCTGCATGGGGTCAAACAAACCGCTATATCTAAAGACGGTTTCGCCTCTAAAGATACATCTGCACTGAAGTTCCTTTGAAACTTCTGTGACTCGGCATACAAAATTACATTAGAATCCGTTAGTACATTGTCAGTACTTACCGCAAGCATGAAAGTACAAACTTCATTGACTATATCTTCATCTGTGAAATCTTCATTATTTTCATTAATTCCAATAAGGAAATCCAGAAGACATTTTTTTTCAGGGTTGGCTGCGAACAAATCATTAAATTGTCTGCATTAAAAATATGTTGCACTACTTCATCATAAATGAATATTGTGATGCTGGTCTTTTACGTTATTTTCGATATTTATGGCTGGATCACCGCTGGTAGGCCAAGGCACGTAAGCGGGCTGTCGAGCCTTAGGACAGGACAGATCTTACTTTCAGTGATTGCCATTGTAATGCTTTCGTCGCGAGTGAAGAATATGCTCTGTCTCATCTCAGGCGTGTTACATTGTGTTCTGCAGCAGTTTTAAGAGATTGTACAAGAATGACTGGCAATGTTGTACCTATTCACGACGAGTTTGGTGGTCGGTCGAAGTGTACGATCAGACTAGGAAGAAGTTATTAAATAAATATATTTGCCGGTTCCCTGAGGTTAATGTAAGTCATTGCCTGACCTTCTGAGAAAAATTTTTCACGGAGTGATAATCCTTTCGTGAGCTCCTCTTACGCGAGTTCGCGCAGTGTGGCAGGGTGCCACTTTTCTCTTTGAAACTAGCGTGTCGAAATTTTTAATCTTCGTTGGTGACTTGTTTCTCGGCCTTGATTGTAGTGTTCTTTGTGGGCGGGTATAGTGGATAATCCTATACATGCCAAGACTATAACCCACGTTCCACTCATCAGTTCTTAAAAAATACTATAGTTTTCACGTGACACATGTTTACATTCGAGAGACTGTGAACCAAACTTTTTTTGTAAATGACTCTAATACTCTCGTATGGAATTTTGGCACTCGCTCTTTCTTTGTTTGTGTCGAAACAAAAAAACTGTTTGTCGTCAATGTGTCTGGGCGCAACAGACACGACCCTCGTTCTTGTCCTAAAATACTCACGTGTTAATACTTATCGGAACTTCCTATCATTATACACTATTATCTTGTAACTCTGATCTGTAGGTTTCATGGTCTAGTACATGATATTCGCACGTCTCTAATTCGTACTCGGAATATCATATATATATATATGATATATATATATATATTTTATTATATGATATATATATGGACATATATCCAATATATATATTAATTCCGGCAAGGATATTTTGACGCTGTAGTTTAGATTTTGCATCAAGTAAATTGGTTTAAAACGAGGAAATATCTAGTCGCAGTGTTAATTCCTACTCTATATTGTGAGATATATGGCGCACGCATTTCAGGTAACGGTATTAATCATCGGGACACAATTATTTTCGACTAGTTGGACAAATTTCAAATATCGAAATATATACTAGTTGTAATATAACGCTGTCGTCGATATGTTGGCTTCGTTTTTTCCTCAATTTTCGTCTTTCTGGTCAGTGGCCTGCAGTATATTAAATAGATAGACATTCATAGACGTCATTTTACGGCAACGTGAATGTGAAATCGTATTACATCAAGACTGTTCTAGTTGTTATATATATGTAAAATAATTAATAAAATTGAATTTTTAAAAGTTTCCATTCAATAAATAAAGAATTTTGTAGATGTTTTTTTTTCTCCAATTATAATAACATTCAATTTTTTGAATACTTTACAAAAGTTCCCACTCCGAACAGGTTATCAGTCTCAGATCTATCAGAATAAATATTTCGTTATTCTTTCTAATAATTTGAACATGAAAAATTATCTGGTTTGATGTTTCTTTAAACTAATCTAAACATCAGCGTTAGCAAATTTACGTGAGATTGTTTCTATATTTAAGGGAAAAAAATTCGCTGTGGTTCGCTCACCTTTTTTGCAAACTCAATATTCATTCTTATGTTGCATCTCCTTTTTCTGGCATCTTCAGTAAGTTTGTACACCCAGTTCAGTAAAACCAGGGCCAGTCACAACACCGATGGGGTACTAAACTTTTCCTCTGTGGAGACAACAAGCTGATTTTATTTAGTTTAAATAGTATAATTTAATGAAACTTGTGATAAGGAATGTATATTACAAAGCTAAACATTAGCCAATGTGTAATAAGGTATTTCGTGGAAATATTGTAAAATTTAGAAAATAAGTTTTTAATGACGTAGGCGGTTTTGAATGAATTGTTAAGGTTTTACTACTTAGCTTTCGAAACGGTGTTCAGAGACAGCTTTGTTTCTTTTATCGTCCTACAGGAATCCCCAAAAGCGGGATTCTACAAATATACAAAATCTCGTATTAATACATATTGCATTTCCCTTTTTTCATAATAGGCTTCTGACACGATATTTTAATTCGATCTTATCAAATGTCACTCATGTTAGTGTTTTATATGTCGTACATACTATCAGGTGACATCATTGACCTCATCGTTTCTGTGAATTGAAATGTCTTAGACATAGAACTTCTTTTTTCAGCACATTGGTTACCAAGACCGCCCCCTTGCTATATATAAAAAAAAATAGATCGTTGCCAACCTTCCAAATCTAAACAACGTCCATAGACGCAAACGTATGCCGACGACACAGGCAATTTAACCTAACAGTGGAAGCATAGCTTCCGCGGGCCGGGAGTCAGTATTTAATTGCTGTCCGAGGTGTACGCGCTTTGTTGTGGCGTCCACGGAGGGTGCTGACGTTTCAGATAGCATTCTGCGAACTTCCTCAGATCGTGGCCCTGACGAAAGGTCGCAGAGATGAGAGCGGGACTCACGGAGATGAGAGACACCATTTTTGCCATGGACACGGCGTACCAGACAGCCAATTAATATTAACGTAAGCAAGCTATTCACCTACTTGATATTAGAACTAATTGGCAAATATAGCATACGTCTCTTAGGTCAATCTGGCTTTAGTCTTAAATTAGCTTAAACCTCCTAGAAATTAACAATCAAAAATTTCTCACTAAGATCATGCTCTTCCCCACCTCTTAACCTACAATCAACCTTGAACTAGACCCCTCACACATGCTGATCAATAGGGTTCACATGGGAAATGCAAAAGTTAAAATGTAACGACACATAAATATCAAAATAACCAACTAGAAATAATGAAGCACTTAAAATGTCATGGTCGCTGCTCGGGACGCATATTAAAAGCCCGCCCGCGGAGCTACCGTCGCAAGACGGTGGAACTATGCTCTATTAGGTGCAGGTTCTTTGGACACCCATTACTGATTGAAAGCTTAAAGCATTAGGCTTCACATTGCTTCATTGACTACAATCAGTATTCATTTCATTAATTCATTAACAGTATTATGACAAGAGTAAAACAAATACTGTACTAAATATCAGATAAAACACTAAACCATTAAGAATGTTTAGGACGCAGTTGTTAATATATGAGTTCTGGTTTCACCTCCTTTTTGGCCAGTTGGTTTACACGATTCACAAATATGTTGGCAACAAATCGTAAAATGTCGTCACAAACCTTCGAGTATATTAATTGTGAAACTGGTTGTATTAATTTCCGATGCGTATGCCATTCTCACCTGTTAACAAAGAATTTTATTTTAGTGCATAATATGTTTTAAAATATGATTCTTAATAAAAACATGATAAAAAGATGTTATTCGAATGTCATTGCTAATGCAACATTAATTGATAAACTAGTTACCGTCATTACTTACCATTAATTACTAGTTCCTAGTAATGCCATAACTATATTATACTTAAACCGCGGAATACGCCAATACAATAACTCGAATACTGCCGTTGTTAATAGAAAAACAGCCAATTCATAGTAATTCTTTACCACTGCTTTGTTATGAGTCCTTGACCGCAAGAAATTGCTGCAGCACTGTACAGAGTATCTTTGTCCTTACGTCTTCGTGATTGTCGTCCGTGCCGGTCTCCGTCGGTCTTGGGCTCCTTACTGAAGGGCAAATCGGCGGGCGGGGTGTGGTTGCCTTTCTGAAGAAGCCGGGTTTCATGGAACGATCTCTTACCCTCCCTAAATAGCATCGATGCACTGAGAGAGTCAAATTTAAAATTAATTAGCCGCCTCAATAGATAGATATATAATAGATATAGATCTTGGTTTGAAACGCGCTCTTTCTTTTTTGTAATGCAATTATGTCGGAATGTTTTTTTTAGAAAATGTAACATCAGTCTCAACGGGTTGTTTTACTTTCGTTTTTTCATTTGATTGATTCTTGGTATCAGGGTCTGTTCATCCATGGTAAGTTTTTTTAGTTAGCTCGGCTTACCACCTTGTTGCGAATTCCGTATGAAAAATTATTTCACATTCTTGTTCCATAACAAAAAATTTGTTAACTGTTCTCTTCTTACAATGACTCATTCCTGTTTCTTTTATGACAATAGTTATGGATCTCCCTATTGCCACAACCGAAACTGGAATGTGGAAGCGGTGGATGTGATGTGGATGACTTCTTGACGTTCGCGTTCGGAACTCTACCCAGCAGTTACTAACAAAGAATATTCCCATGGGTCTAACATATCTTGGTTGTAGATTTAGTAAAAACTTACATTGGATTAGGAAATCGCGTAGATCGAAAATCGAGTTTAAAATTATATAACAGATACGGGCTCGAAGCCAAACGGCGGATCGTGATTGTTGCTACTTTCTAAGTCAAAAAACCCGATTTTGAATTCTTACTGTTACCTCAGCACTGACATGTTGGCTTAGCGACAGACCGCAGTTATGTTAACATTCTTCACCAGGGATAATCCTCTCTTAGAGCCAAATTCGCCTAGTAATTGTCCAGGAGCAAGTCCGTATCCAGAAGCTGAGCGCGACAGATTCTTCCAAAGGATCGCCGATGCCTCCCCGCACAGTGCCACGGCCTGAGGACGCGTGCGATGCGTCGTCTGGGTACGGAGCAGTCGTGCGGCTCGGCAGGGCGGAGCGGCGTGGCAGGTCTTGGGAACGCGGCAGCGCGGACGCAGAACTCAACGCGCGCGCGCGCCGTGTTCGGGCAGCGCCGGCTTGTGCGGGCGTCTGATACAAAGACGGGGCAGGGAGGGCTGGGCGACGGGTGCCGAGCCCGGAAGAGGCGCCGGTGCGACTGGAGCTGAGGCACAAGGCGGTGGGAGGCGGGTTGGGACGGCAGCGAAGATGGCGAGAGAGGGGAAT